AACCAACCAACCAACCAACCAACCAACCAACCAACCAACCAACCAACCAACCAACCAACCAACCTTTCACAAGGACACCAAGCATCATCCATAATGCTTCCTCCTGCAATTTTAGGCCACTGGCTGTGCTTGCTGGGAGGCTCTGCCACCTGAGGTCCAAAAAGGCCATTTCTCCCCATCTCTCTGCCAGTTAAAATACCATTTTCATTTTTGGAAAACAGAATCAACAACGAGGCAAGGATCCTACTGCGATTTTGCTGAGTGGAAAGTCCCTTCTGTGTAGTAATGTGGGATCACATGCCACTTGTGTACGTGCTGCCGTTGCACGAGGGAAGGACGGGTTGTAGAAGATCACAGCTTGTGCAACTGGTCATTGCACAAGCAGTGCAATCCTGCAAAACTACATCAATGGCCCTTTCTGCTCAGAGGAAGTTAAATAGGATATTGGTTCATGTTTCTAGCAATTTGTAACTAGATACTTTCAGGCTCTGAGAGGAACTACAGAGGTGCTGTTTATAGCAATAAACACACATGTCCCATAATACTGGGTTGGGCCTGATTTTATCCCTGAACATCCATGTCTTTCACTTCTCTTCCATGTGTGCCTGCAACTCACCCTCTGCCTTCCACTGCCTTTTTCATGGAGGAGGAAATGCTGCCTTATAGATGTCAGGAAACATAATGCAACGCAAGCACTCAAAGGTACAGAATAAAATAACATGCCGACTTTGCAATCAGCTGTGGAACTGTCTTAAGAAGTAAAAGACATCTGTTTTTTTCCCATTACAAGGTTTTGAAACTCTGGAAACTGCAGATTAGCTTGCTTTTTGTTCACTCATTGCTCATCAAGAGATAAACAGAAGACTCACAGTTGAGTTGACTGTCCAGACATAGCCACTTTGAAAAACGTGTTTTTGGAGAGGTAACACCTTATTTTCTTACTGCAAAGCTGGCATCTCAGCCATTTTTGTCCTTTGAGAAACACTTGTTTTGAAACACACTGCAAGTATGAGATGACTGCACCTTATGTCAGGGATTGGACGCCAGTTAGACATATGCTATATTTTGCACAGAAAATATTTCATACTGCACCCCTACCAGATCACTAAACACAAAATTAATGTCTGCATGTTACAAAGAAACTGCAGTCTCAGAATGTAAAAGACAGTACGGTGTACTGTTAGAAGGAGACCACATTGTGGAAGAGGAAAGCCATGTATATCACCTTGAGCTCATGGAAAGAAAAGTAGAGTATCGCTATAAGTAATAAGTATTTTAAAAAAAACCTGACACCCCTCCCAAATACTAACCCTTTCTTAGAATTCGAAGATTCGCTGTCCATATTTAATTAATTCTTGCAAGGTCCAGGTGAAACAGGCAACCGTAGCACAGGTATCCTTAGACAAGGAAGGCTTCATCAGTTACAGCTGATATGAGTAAGCTGTGGAAAAATATTAGCTACGAGTCCACAGTATTACCACGCTAGAGCAAGACCATAAGCCCTACTTGCCTTAACAACTGATGCCAAAAATGCTGTACCTCTCGAATTTCAGCCTGCCCAGTAGCTGTTAAAAAGCACAGAACGTCTCATGAAAAATATAGAGCAGAAGGAAGCTGTGCATGCATTCAAAGTGGCTTTCTTTTCGCTGGGGATATTAGTTGAGCTGGGATAACTGTTTCCGCAAAAGCCCTTAGCTGGAAATGGTCCTTTCCCCCATTTTTTTAATGACTCATACAAAAAGTCATGGTCAGAGAAGGCCTAAATCAAATTCCACATAAGGGAGGAACTAAATTCGTCCCAGACTCAGCTGGAATATTTGTTAAAAGCAGGGATCTGGATAAAAATGTCATTTTAGACACCGGCCTTTCTGCTTTCGGATTTTCTCTCATCACCGCGATAAACGAGATTTCACTTATTCAATTTTTTTGTTCATTTCTTTCAAATTAATCAGGCAGCTGTGTTTGGGGACCCTCCTGTTGATTCTGTTGAGGAGGACCACGCTTTGTATCCCTATAAACCTACCCCACTGGGTCTGGGGAACTGGTTTTCAAATGGCCTCACGAAATCTCGTTACAAATCATAAAGAAATTCCCCATCCAAGGGGAAAAAAGGATGGGGGAAGTCCAACTTCCCCATTCTCTTCTACATCCAAGATTACATATTCTTGAATATTTGGGGAGGCATGACTACATGAAAGCATCTGAATGTAGCTACATTAAATAAACTCTCCCTTTTTAATGTCATCATTGCAAGTGAGGCATTCTGGGAAGCGATAGCCCCAAAAGTAACTTTTCCACACACAAAAAAAGGCTCCCGATTGGCACACAGTGATAAAATACACTTTCAACACACTGGTTTGAACAAAGAAAATCACATGCACCATAAAAACCATCACCACCATTCCGGCTGATGGGGAGCAGAGCCGTTTGACCAGCGCAGCCTGAAAAAACACTTGCTTTCTTCTTCCTGCCTCATCCGTTCTTCCTTTCATGTCGTGTCATTCTAGAGTATAAGCCTGCAGAAATCTACTGACTGTGCTGAAGTAGCTCAGGAGCAAGGCAGGAGTACTCGGAACAAAATAAAATCATAACAGCAGAGTTTGCGCAACATCCGATAAAGCGGAAGCAAATAGTAGTCGTCCAGAAACGCTTGGCAAAATATATACGTCTTCTCCACATCATCACAGAGAGGGCCCTTCAGGCCTCTCAAGGGAGGGAATTCGACAATCTGGGTGCCATGACTAGAGATGGGCACGAACTGGCAAGCCGGTGGTTCGTGATGGTTCGTGGGTAGCCACGAACCACGAACTATCACAGTCCCCCTGAAAAACAAACCGGTTCATGTCGTTTTCTGGTTCGTGGTTCAGTTCTTGCCCATCTCTAGCCATGAGCAAAATGGCTTTCTCCAGTATCCCACCAAGCTCCTCACAAGATCGCAGTGGGTCATTCAAAGCCAGGCCTCAGAGAATTGTCTACGGGGACGACTAGGGGGCCTGCGTGGGAGGAGGCGGTCCTTCGTATACCCCCGCAAACACGTAGGATATTATTCCATCCTCAAGACATAAAGCTCCTTTTCAGCATTTTGAAACCAAGGAAATCAAAACAATGGACTCCCCTCCTGCCACAAAGTTACAGGAGGGAAGTTGTTAGCAAAAAAACAGGGTGTTGTTTTCGATACGGTTAACAATCTTTGCGAAGTTAAGGTAACCGGCTGAATCCGTTCGTACACCATTTCCTCAGTTCAAGGAAACAAATGAGTGGGTGGCCTAAGAGCCAAAAAAGCAGGTAGCTGAAAACATTCACATCAGTATCACGTTTCTTCACTGCCTTGAAAGGTGGACCGTGGCCAACTGCGGTAGGCACCGCGCAAAACGTCCGTACTTTTCTCCTGTTACAGAGATCACAATTTCCTCAGATGCTACCGAGAGCACTACCCAACCATACGCAAGGAATCTTCCAAGCACCGTAAAAATCACAGACGCTCCGAAAAATGACTGACGTACCACTTTCATGCGTACACACCTTAACCAGGCGATCATCTGGTTAAGAAGGATTGCCTGTTCTCAGCTTTGCTGCGCCAGTTTGCCCAGCATAATCGCATGTGTCCCTCTGTTTTCCCCGCTGAACAGTTGAGATAGTCGTGAACATTCCGTGTCACCTCACCAGCTGGACTTCTAGGCAGTGCTCTTCCATAAAAGGAAGTTGAAGCTTTTACAGCTGATAGTTGATGAGGGTTTGAACACTACACCTCTGTTTACATCAGGGTAGTGTTCTATTTTTTAAAAATTTCTAAAGCCTTTTTTAAAAGAGGAAAATTGAGATCATCATTGTCATTCAGTGGATAAGTGATTCCGTCTAATTACTGAGCTGCAAATACAAAATAAGAATGATCCTCTGGACCATTTGCACCACTGACAACGGCTCAGAGTGGTTAAATCGCTCAGTCCTCAATTTCAGCAGAGTCAAGATCTGGAAAAGCCCTCTAACCATTACTAGATACTATTGTTAACGTAATTTCAGCATAGTGGCAGCTGGGTGGCCTCATTCCTGCTTAAGCAAAAGCTTGGCTGGGAATAATTTTAGTTTTTGGACCCCAATGTCCAGAACCCCTTGCTGGTTTGGGGATTCTTGGGATTGTAGTCTAAAAATAAAACTTCTAAGTTACGGTTGTTGCTCAAGGCTTCCAGAAGCTGCAGTCCAAAAAAGCAGTTTCTCAAAGGTTTAATCAAAAGCAAAGATTTAAGTAAGAGAAGTCTGGGACAACCATCTCTTCCCTATAATAGCAACCCTTTGACGTTGCTTCTTCCTATTCTCAACCTTCCTCTGGCTACCTGGATTGCTTGGAATGGTCATACATTTAACCAGATCGGCCACTTGCCAACCACTCAAGCTAATTATTATCTTGTTCTTGCCACAGCCAGAAGTGATTGATGAAGGCATTAAGGTGTATAAATTCCGGGAACCACCTGACAAATTCAACCTTAGCTGGCCGACATTGCAGAAGATATTACATGTTGTCCAGTTTCTCATTCTCTGAGACTTCCCTGTAAAAGAAGAGCCAGGAGCCTTGTAATCCTAGCTTGGCAATAAAATCTTTAGCCTTTGTGTGACAAAATTGAGAACTTGGGGTACATGAAATATGAAACTATTTTGCTGGACTCTTCTATACTTCTGTGAGCCTAGGAAGCTAGCCTCACATGCAGAGGTCAGTATGGAAAGAGACAGTTCACACCTTCAACTCATCTCCTGTTATTGAACACTTCAAACAAAGGGCTGAGCAAGGGAGCAGATGCTTCCATGCTTATCATTATTAGAGGACATATTAAAGCTGCTCCAAAGGGACACTAACGCTTTCTATGTAATCCAGACTTGAAAGGAGTCAGTTTGAAGCTTTCCCAGAAAGCAATGTAGACAGGGCGATGGAAATGGTATCAAGTCAGGAAGCTGCCTTTTGTCGTGATGGAACATGAAAAAGACCTAAGATGAGCTGGCAACCGGTGCATAATAGCTCATTCACTTGTATTAAAAGGAAGTAGGGAAACAAGTTAGCGGGCTGGCATGTATCTGAGGAGACCGGTGCCTTGCTTCCCTGCTGTTCAACTAGACTCGGTGTGACTCATGAGGCAGCTCTGGATCCATTTGCCATCTCACAAAGCTGAGTTGGGAATTAGCACTTTGTGCATGTCCCTGAAATACACAGTGCCTCCACTCAGGTGTGAGTACAGATAAGGTAGATGAATTGTACTAAAACCAGTCCTTGCTTTGACCAGCTACGGGGATTTTTTTTTGCAATGTTTGTGTGTAGGAGCTACCTTGGCAGCTACCTTGCATGGTTGGTGCGCTCGTTGTCAGTTCTTAGCCTTGGGAATTGTGTGTGTGTGTGTGTGTGTGTGTGTGTGTGTGTGTGTGTGAACAACCCATGACAATGGGTAGAGAAGGACTGCAGAAGTGTGATTTAAATCAATCTGATTGTTTAAAAAAAACA